AACACGAGCTCGTGACGTATCTCTGTAACCAATCAGCCTTCAGCTGCGCATGTAGCTCTGCCTTTTGGTACCCTTTCTCATGTTTGGTACCCTTTTCGAAAGGGTGCTGAAAAAGTGGTACGGTTCTGTTTGGTATGCCTTTTGACAGTGGAAACGGCATAAAAGCGCACCGAACCGTACCGTACCACTCAGTGGAAACGAGGCATTACACACATTTATATAAGTACATTGAATGACATGCTCTATAATCTGCTGAGTTTTTGACTCGATGTGGCTCTACTGATTAGCTTTTCTTTCATTATTAGCAATTCCTCCGCAATATGTGTTTGAGTGTCAGTCGGACAGCATGTGCACATGGAGATTAAAGGGATTAAACAGATGTATGTTCTTACAGCGCAGGCTAGCACACACACTGGGTCACCGTTACTGAGCTCTAAATCAGATTAACACACACACACATCGCCGCACAGCCGTACGTTTGAAGCATATGTAGCAGGAGATTGATTCAGATTTAGTGGGTCACAAGTGTCCGGCAGGAATGTCCGGCGGATCGAAGTTTACCGGGGAATTTATGCTGCCTTGTGTAAAACGTTTTGGAATAATTTGTTTGTTGATTGTTGGAGTTTAGTTTGCGTTGACACACTGTGTGCCCAGTTGCTCAGAATCGCCAACGAAAGACCGTATCGGTTTAAGATGCGGTCGCCGCCTTCACGAGTGATTTGTGTGAACAACCGTAATGTTACGGTCAAAAGAGGGTGAGTTTCTGACATGTTAACAGTCTGAGAATGAGTAGTATAGTGTATTAATGTTCTAAAGTTTGAAGATGTTGATATGTTTTATTTGTTTATTTATTTTTGGGTGAGTTTAAGTTAGCATTTATTTAATAAAAAACACAAAAATCTTTCAATCTTATTGCTCTTATATAAACTAGAAGTATTTTGTATTTAAATGTGTTTTCAATATATTTTTGTGACTAAAATGCTGAATTGTCTACCTTTACTCCAGTTTTCAGTGTCACATGATCCTGCTGAAATCATAATAATATGCTGAATTAATGATCTTTGATTAAAAAAAGAGGAGGATATACAGTGCTCTGCATAAATAAATACATGAGTATTTTGAAAATGAATATTTTGCTCCGTTTCTCAGTGAATATAGGTCATATATTTTGGTGCATTTGGACAAAACAGATTTATTAAACATATACTGTATTTATTAAATTAATATCTTAGTCAATCTTTAGGAATCGAAAGATATAGATAATCTTCAAAATTCATGAGACATATTTTTGGGAAAAAATTACATCCTACAAAATTTCAACAACATTTTATAAAATGTTTCTCTTGATTTATGCTCTTTAAAAACAAAACAAAAAAAAACATTAATATTTTTCTCTAACTTATAAATTTGGGCTACTAATTTTGGACCATTATCATAAGTTATTTTGTTAGATTAGCTTAGATTTTGCTTCATTAGTGATTAATCTAATGTATATGCATAGATATAATATTCTAAAGCTTCTTATAGAAAATATGAATCTGAATGAGAGATTTGTGAAGGGTGTACACATATATGCTGAGCACTGTATGACAAGAAGAGGAGATTAATGATTTTTTTCCTCTTTATTAAGAGTTTTCTAAAAACGAGGGATTTTTGATTAGTAAAAAGTTTAAAATAAAAACATTTGTCAAAAATATAATTATGTTACAATACAAATGTCTTTACTGTCATTTTTAATAAATGTAGTGCGTTCTAGCTGAGTGCAAGTATTAATTTCTTAAAGGTGCCATATACTCTGCATTGGCTCGATAAGTTCAAATGTTCTCTGATATCTACATAGTAGGTTTATGCATTCGTTTTGTAAAAAAAAAGTCCAGAAACGGTTTTGTAAGCTCATTTATTACTCAAACAAATACCCTTAGAATCAGAAGGTCCATAATTGACCATATGTGGATTGTGTCATGAATATTAATGAGCTCCGCTCTGATGTCCAGTTCTCTCTCTCTCACATACACTACATGATGTACACTGAACACAGACAAATATAAACTAAATCAGAGTAACATTAATTTATTTTGCTCATGAGATGTAGATAAATGCTAAATTATTATTAAACTGACAATAGAGACAGATAGAGATGTATCGCGTTGTATTTTAAAAGTTATAACATCGATGAAAACACAGCCAGGACGTAATATTATCTGCATGAACAGATACCAGTGGAGCTGAGTGATTGGACACAATTCAGCAGTCTACACATGTTTGTTGAAACATACGCTTCAAACATACTTAGTAAATTAAATATAAGCTTTTAAATAACTAATGGAGTGGAAACTATCATTGTTATCTCACTAGAAAATGTTGCATATCAAACATCGCCTTAGGCGTGCATATTAATGATCTCAAAGCTACATATGAGTCTGTGTGCTTTTGATGACGTCAGGTCCGGATGAAGGACCTAAAGTAGTCATGCATGCAAATTTGGAGGATGTGGCCCGTG